CCCCCCCCCCCCCTACCCAAGGCTACCCTGCCTGCCTCTCTCGCTAGCCGCACTCGTCTTCAGGTCTTAACCCTCACCTGTTCTTCTAGGCTAATGAGCTCCAGCTTGAGGTTCCGAAGGAAGCCCCTGTCTTCTCTTCGAGCCACGTGTCGCCACGCCGGGAGCAGCGGCACGTACGGCTGCGCCGCCTCTGCCTCCGCAGCCGCTCTCGCCGCTTCCATCCTACTGCTGTTGCTGCTGTTGCTGCTGTTGCTGTTGTTGTTGCCGTTGCTGCCCTGAGCGCGGCGTTCGAGGGCACCGACTGGGAGGTCCGCGGTGGTCATTCTCACCGCGACAGATTTCCCTGTAGAGTAACGCAGGAGTACATGTTTTCAGAGAAATTCGATCGACCATGTAGCGCGGGTATGGGGGAAGGAGCGGCCAAAGGCCACCAAGCGTAAAGAGGGTGAGATGATAGCACCGTATGACACCCACAAGAATCGAGTTAGGCATGGTATGAATCTCGTGTGAGCGTCTTTCTCTCCTCTCCTCTGTGGATGTAAGACGAGTAAGAGTGATGCGTAGACTATGCGTATCATCGTCCAAGAAGGGCCTGCGCCTTCACACCGACCGGCATTCGGAGAACCACTCGCATCAAACCCTACGCCTGCAAAAACGTTAACGTTTTCGCAACTGCACCGCACCGGAGAAGAGGGGCCCGGCCTTTTGCGAGAGGACCGTCGAGTGGAGCTGTCGCCGTTTACGCCTCTCGCTGCCGCTGCTGTCGCTGCAGCGGCAGCAGCTTCAGCGGCTTTGGCTGCGGCTTCGGCTTCTGCTAGCTGTCGGAGGCGCTCCTGCTCTATGTCCTCCTGTGCTTTCCGCTCAGCTTCCTCGGCCGCGTCAACAAGCCGCACCCTCTCGAACCCCACTTGCATCTCGTCCTTGCTCTTGGATAGATTGATTGAAGACGGGGATTGAAAAGCGGCGTTTCGGTTGCTGAGATGAAGGGGAAGCAGACGCCCGTGGCATGTCCGTTCTCACGATAGTCGGAATTGATCGCCACTTCCTTTCTTCCGACGGTTGGACGCACTCGGACGGTACCCTTATCTCATCTCATCTACAAGTATCTCAACCTCGTTGTCTCGCGTATTTGGTGTTTGTGGCCAGACTACCTGGTTGGCGCGCTGGCTGACAAGAACCATAGATGGGTTTTGGTGGCAAATACCTGATTGATATATAGCCCCCCTGTGGGCATTGACCATCAATGGACTATCGCCATATTGTGACAAACTTCAAGCCTCTGTTTTCACCTTCAACAACACCTTGCGTGGCCGATCGGACACACATACGCAAGTGACGTACTCGTTTCCGACATACTATGCACCAGCAGCGCAGAACACAAACATGCACATGTTCCATTCTGAAAGCCTCGAATGTTGGATGTAACACAACAAAAACAAAGAATGGCAGCGACGAGCACGAGCACGAGCACGACGAGCAACATGGCAAGTGGTACGTGGTAAGGACATCACGCCAAGAACGACGACACCAAGAAGACCCTAACCCTAACCCTAACCCTAACCCGCTAGCCACGATGAGAGGGGACAACCCAGCATCACGATAATCAACTCTCCTACAACTTTTTACAAGCGCCCGACCAACAAAGGCCGAAAACGCTCTACATACCTGACAGAGCCTTCGCCTCAGCGGAGCCCCCCGCTTCCCTTGAGGGTGCTGGCTGTCCATCAACGCGTCTACTTCCTGCTGACTACTGTACTGCCCTCAAACGCCTCCACCTTTCTCCTCTACGTGGATGACCTCAGACCGCCCCCCACCAAACCACCAGTAGTTGTTGAACTCCCTGAACATCAAAACAAAAAAGCGGGAGTGGGGGGCGAGAGACATTGATTCCTGGGAACGATACTGCTATAGTACTACTTTTCTGTCCCAGAGCAATCGACAGCACGGCGAACAATTTCAAGAGGCGTGACGAAGAAAGAGAGAAAAACATTTGTGGCACGCAGTTCGCTGATTGGTCAACGCACCTGCGGCGGAATTCCGAAATTTCCAAAAACAGGCACGGCCCAAGATCCTTGTTCGACGGGCGTGGTCGCCCACGGTGAAATCGAGGGCGGCACCCCAGAAAATTTTGGGAAAGTCGTGGCTTCTGTTGGCGACCTTTCTGCAAAACCATCATCATAATATCCCTCCCCTCCGCCGAGAGACACAACAAAAAGCAACGACACCAGATTGATTGATATTTTAAAATATTGATCCCAGCGGCCGGTTGATCCGGAGTCGCTGACTGTCTGGCCTAACAGTCGAACAGCCGAGTCACACAGGCTGGTCATTTTCGACCCACGCACCGCGCCTCTTCTTTCCTCTGTTTTCTGCGGCTGCCTCGATTCCGGCGGGGGCTGCAGGCGCGTTGTTCCCCGCCACTTCTATAATGACGACGCGCACGACGATTGATCCCGCAGCCGACTGAAGACAGACAGACAGAAGAGAAGAACCAAAGGGATCCACCATAGGCATCCCTCACACACACACATTCGCGCGCGCGCGGCCGATCTTGCAGCTCATCATCATCGAATCGTCACTCAGAGCCGGCAAAGAGCCACCTCCTTCAAAATGTCGGTGAAACAATGGAAGCGACTGTTCCCGCTCCCGCCGTCACAGCCACCACGAACACAGGGATCTTTCGCCGTGGTTGAC